TAATCAGTGTGATTGAAAACGCCAAATAATTTTTTAATAGCCTACCGTACCTATTATTATTTTTAGCGAATTTCCCTATAGGGAAGTAGCTATTACCGTAGGTGGCATGGTAAGACCTAGGCCCGGGACCGATTTACTTTTTCATTTTGATGTTCCCAGAGGCCAAAAACACCATTCGTTAACATTTTTATATATGTGTGTCCGTGAACGCGATAACTTGAGTAATTATTGTCCGATTTTGATGAAATTTGGTTTAAAGGTGTAAGGCAGGATAAGCTTGAATGAGTTCGCGAACCAGCATGATCGGACCACGGGAACGGGGTTTTACGGGGTGTTTTATGGGGTATAAATTGGTTTTTCTCATTTTTGACCCTCAAAACACAAAATTTCCCAATTTCTCTCTAGACCTTTTTAAAGAGCTTAAAAAAAAACTAATAATTTAGTATGCAAAAGTGTTTTTGTACGGTTATTGGTAACGGAGAAAATTCAAAAAATTGAAAATTCCTATGTTATTCTTATGGAGAATATTGTCAAACGTTGTAGTTTGCTTGTTTATGGATATATTTTGATCAAACTTGGCAAATTAATTTATTTTACACTAAGCTATTAATATTTGACTAAAAAACACACTTTATTAGTTTCCTTGTAGCAGCAAACCTAGGTACTGGTTAAACCTTGTGTTATTAAAATATATTTAATGAAAGTCAGTTCAGACAAATGGAAATTCGCTTAGTCGGCAGGTTTGCTGCGGCGGGGGTGTTTTATAATATTGTTGGATAAGTTATAAAGTATTTCCCAGTAGTTGCCAAACACAAACAATTGAAAAATATTGTTTAATTTTTGTTTTTGTGCTATATTTGACAATATGAATTAAAAACTGATTTCACGATTGTCGTAAATCTTTTATAGTGTTGTGTGCTAATATTTGAAGATAGTTGTTTACCATAATCTGATATATATTGGCAATACAAGAAACTAGGTGATGTTTTTAAATAAAAAAGCTTGTGGCCATTCCCATGATGTAATATAATGCCATTACTCATTAGTCGCCACATAGAGCCACCTTTCCCCCACTGCCTAAATAAAATCTCCTCCTCATCAGTCCACACAAAGTTGAGCGGTTTTAATGTAACTCTTGTTATTATTTACAATAACCTACCTTAACTCCCGAGTATAGTTCTGTTCAAGTGCTTTAACTGAGTCTAACATTTGGGTGTTAAATTAAGGTAAATGAAGATAATTCAGAGAACATACTGAAATTTGTATATTCTTCACTTAAAGCCAAATTAAATATCTCTGATATTACCAAGATGAATGAAAAATACACACTGTTTTTACTTTCAAAGAATTATGAACACATCAATATAAGCTTACCTTTTAAATCCCACATGAGCTCAAACATTGAAGGATATCCTACAACTATTTCATCTGTATCAATTGTTAACATTGTGAATCCAGCCCTGTTCAGGAGGCTGCCAATATCTTGAACAGCTGTGAACGGAGAAATGTGAGGGGAAATTCCTCCCACCCTCTCTAACTCTGCCAGTTGTAGGGAACATCTAAAACGTTAAAAAAATATTACTTGATTAAAAATATGTAAATAATTGTCTGGGTAACAGAGTACCGTAGTTATAGTGCTCGCCTTCAAATCTGAAAGTCGCTGGTTAGTTCTTGATATCGGCGCACATGGATCCGTATTTAAAGCTGAATAAGTTATGAAGACGTGAGTGTAACTTAGAATGGTGTGAGATGATCTGTGTAGCTTTGCTACTGACCAAGATCAGTCGTTTCCTTAGTCATAAACATGTATTAAAAGCCTATTGCTGGCGCACACGGTCGATTTTTCAATCGGCCACACGTGGCGATTTTTTAGTTGAGAAATGGATGCTTTCAAGTGCGTAGCTATCCTTAATAAATTGACTTTGTAGAATTAACCTGTGTTTGTGCTCTTCTAATAGGTCTAAGAAAAAATTAAGACAACATATAGACTAAACAATGGGTTCATCCTATAGTAAGTCAGAGACTCTTAAATGAACAGTTTTATAAACTGCAGACTTGTTTACGTGAGGAATCTGTTTACCTTCAAATTCCTGACACTATATTCTTTCAATTTTTTACCATACAGCTGCAGCATTTTTTCTATTTAATTTATTAATAGTTCAGTATCAAACTCTGCCACTGCCATGGTAAAAAGTAAGAAAAACTATGAAAGAAAAACTACGACAACACAACTCACGCTGAGACTTTGACTGACTCCTGAGGAGAACAACAAGCGACTGTGTGTGCGCGGACTGATAACAACCTGTAGGCCTACGTTACAGATTTCCGGGCGACAATTGCCTTGCCTATGAATCTGCAGCAAAATGCAGATTTTAAAATCGGCGCAATTCTCGCAAGTGGGGTGAGGCTGGGCATTTTTACGAGCTGCATGTGAATTTAAGCCAAGTTGTAGCTCAACACTACAAAAATTAGAGATCTGACTCAAACCTTAAGTTCGTCAGCTAGAGGTAAAGATACCCCATGCACTTTTGAGTCAGATCTCTAATTTTTTAATGCTGTCAGTAAGAACAAAAATCAAAGAACCAAGGTCAGGATCAAGGTTCTATTTTGCCATAATACAACATATGGTTAGTTGCAGATATCAAAAAATTTAAGGCTTATATAAAGAACTGAGTTAAGTTACCTTAATTCATATAACGAATCTCCACCAAACACTGAGGCCAAAAACACTCCGTCATTTTTTAAGACCCTCATTATTTGGGAAAATGCTCCAGGCAAATCATTTACCCAATGTAAAGATAAATTGCTAATAACAAGATCAAAATAGTCACTTTCAAATGGTAACTTTTCTTCATCAACAACCAACCGTTCCACCTCAACACCATCTTCAGGAGGACTCGCTTGATATAAGTATGTTTCACTAGTGTCACACATAATAAGTTTTTCTACAGAATCTCGGATGATATTTTTGGAAACATACCCCCGACTGCATCCAAGATCAAGAGCACACTTGAAAGTCCGTTTAACATCAAAAACTCTATCCGCTAACCTATAACCAATTTCATCTTTTAAATAGTCGTACGTATCTACATTTTCCATTCGTCCGGCTCTTTCCTTCTGTTTTAGCTTTGCATTTCTATCAAAAATGTTCATGGAAGAGTGAAGATTTGTTGACATAAATCGATTTTTGGAAATGGCTTTATGATATTTCGATAAAATGTGTTGACAAAAAAACAATTTACAACCTGTTGTATACATCTTAATAAATAAATCTTACTATTATAGCCCTAATTACAATTGTAGTTCATTAAAACCTATGAGGGTTAAAAATCCTAATGATAACATAAAATCTAAGGTAGGTCTAACTTAAATACCTATTCTGAAAGGGAAAGATTATTTAAAATTATATAACCCATATTAAAGCCTAATACTTTTAAAACCCCACTTTAACTATGCTTGCATTTAAATAAACATAAATGAATTAAAATGCAGATAGGGTAAGTTAAGTCACATCAAACAATAACATAACCTACAATTAATGAATCTGAAACTATTTTTATGATAAAAAAAACCAGGTGTTTAGATTTGTGGGGCTTAGCCATGCAGCTTTCTAATTTTACCGTAGTTTGTAACCAACCAAAGGCCCAATCCTCTTCAGCTTGATGATTAACGACCTGTGGCTTAATGGATCCACCATGTTATTTGCAGACGACACCACCCTCATATCACAGGGGAAGGACATTGGACAGGTTCGGACGGAGGCTGACCACCTACTACTGGAACGGGCCAAAGACTGGTTCAACATGAACCGATTCAAGCTAAATGAGGACAAAACCCAATCGCTGCTGTGCACCCTAAAGTTTGATTCACATAAAGACGAAGCCGTGAAACTTCTTGGGTTTTGGCTTGACCCCAAGCTAAGTTGGAATACGCACATAGATAAGGTATGTACTAAACTCTCCAGAGTACTATGTCTTTTGAGGAAGCTCCGTTACAACATCACAAAGCCTTATCTACTGAATGTGTACCATGCTCTTTTCCATAGCCATGTCACCTATGGCATAGCGATTTGGGGACACGCACCACTAACTCAGGACATTCTCCTCTTACAGAAGAAGGCTGTAAGAATTATTACATCCTCAGACTTTGATGAACACTGCAGGCCTCTCTTCATGGAGCTAGGAATACTAACAGTGCACAGCCAATATGTCCTAAGCAGTTTGCTACTCCTAAAAGACAACCTCCACCTTTTTGATATGAGGGAAAGCCAGCATAGCCATAACACTCGAAAGGCCCAGGACCTTGATCTGCCGCGGTGTAGGCTTAGCCACTCCATCAAAAGCTACCCTCGCTCAGCAATCAAGATCTTTAACACGCTGCCAAAAAGAGTGAGAGAGTTAGACAGGACTAAATTCAGGGCAGTACTGCAGGCCCATCTGGTAAAAAGACCCCTCTACTCTTTAGAGGAATTAAGGGAAGTGCCATTAAAAGTCAGCTGAAAACAGCACTACAGTAGGAAATCGTTAGGAAATCAAATCGCCACAGCCCAGTTAATAAATAGTTTGTTTAGTAAGAAGTTTGTAAATATTAGTTTTAAATAATATTTAATAAATAGTATGTTAATGTGCCTATGACGCAATCTATCCGACATTGTCGGTCAAGGATTAAGGACACAAAAAAAAAAAAAAAACCAATAGATACAACATTATTATTAGCATGGAACTAATAAAATGTGTAAACAATAAATTTTACGCTATAATTTAGTAAAATAATATAAATTTAAGATTCAAGACTTTGGCTGTGGAGTGCTTACTATAAAAAAAAGTTCGCTTTAATGAAATCATGCATGACCAACCATTGAGCTGCGTCTTAACAGTGGTCTTAACTTAAAACAAATTTTGCAGGTCTTTGTACGTAATTGAATTTAGTTGTTTTGCTCCTCTAAATTCATACTTTCTTCTTCTTTTCACATTTCATAATCATAACAGCCATAACCTCAATATTATCTTCATTAATCGTGAATAGTTTGTATGGTCTAATTAATTAACTGTTATAGCGAATTTTTGTTTTGTAAAGCGAATTCCGACGGTTAATGAGAATTATTTTAATCTACAGCATTGAGTAGGCTGTTATTTAAGGTAGTACAGAGCCAATTGTAGGAATCCGTTTATTTAAGAGAGACGTAAAAATGAAGATTAATAAAGACGTCAGGCTTCTTATGAAGCCTTATTACTACATCAATATTTTACTCAGTGCATCTTATATTGCTGCCAAAAAGTTACCCTTCTTGTGCCAATACACATTTCCACGATCAGAGTCACAGTGTGAATTCGATTCGGTAAGTAAATCTTAATCTAGGCCTAGAGATATTAAGGTCCAATCTACAGATGATATCTAGGTAAGGTAGGCCTAATTTGTTGTGACCTTGCCAAACCAAGACATTGCTGCCTCGGGCCCAAAGTCCGTGACGCTACCGACTGAGCCACCATTTATCTCCTAATGCCGATGCAGCTGGCAATTGTCTATCATGTTAAGAGTAGCCTAAGGCCGGGGTCACACTCACGTTACATTGTTCTCGTTAGGTGTTACACATGGGATTGAGCGGTAACTTACACTACAGTAACTTAGGCTACACTAGGACGTAGGGGCTGCACTTAAGTAACTTCAGTTATCCGTCCTACACTCATTCGAATGAATATATCGATTATTTCTTTCGATATGAGTTACCAAGTTTGGTTAGTTAGGTTAACCTAATCCAACTAAGTTATGCGAATGAAATAATTAATATATCGGATAATCTATAGGCCTATATCGATATTTTTCATTCAAATGAGTGTAGGACAGATACTAAATTGCAGGGCCCTGGGATAAAAACGTCCGTAATCAAGTTTACCAGTCTAAGTTAGTGGGTTGTACCAGTAATTTAGTGTGAGTGGAATTGCATGTGTATTTTTTACTAACATGCCACCTAGGCATTGCACATAAAACTATTTATTTTATTTCTAAGTTACTGGTACCTTGATTTGTGAGATACGGTAACATATTTTTTAGTTAGTTTGCTGCCTGGCAATTAAATAACAGTCTGTTTATTTTATCACACATTTGTTACTGTGAGCTGTCATACAATGAATAATATAATAATTTTCTAAAAAGTGCTTTTTTGTCGGTAAGTTAAGCCATTCTTCTTAATTCTTTATTAGGCTAATTATATTAATTTACTATTAAAGGGAACATTTAGGCCTAAATTCAAAGTCTTTAAGTTATTTATTTGTAACATAGAATACATAGGCTACATAAATAGTGTCTACAACAGGTGTTGAACAATTTTAAATTCTTATCAATTATCAATCATTGAGATGGGGACGCCACCTAGTTGCGTATTTTAACCCAAGTATGAGTGAAGGATGAGTGTAGAATGGTGATGACCTGTGTAGCTTTGTTACTGACTAAGATCAGTGGTTTCATTAGTCAGGATAATTTATTTAAATCACAATGATCAGGAACAGCTCCAAGGACTCTTAAAATTAACAATGTAAAAATTAACATTAGGCCTACCGGTACATCCTATAATCAAATCAAATCAAATCAAATCAAAATGCCTTTATTCTTGAGCGCTTCTCAATACAATATTGGTTTACAGAATAACTCACGTCACTAAAACTAAACATTTAAAAGTCAAATATCTAAACAAATTATGTACAAGAATAAAAAATCAACAAAAAATTACATGCCTGCTTTACAATGTATTTTAACCTTTTTTTTGAAAGCCAAGGCCGAAAGGCTTTTGATCTGATAGGGGAGGTCATTGTAAAGGGTTGGGCCAAAATAGGAGAACCCCCTCCTACCATAGACAAAAAGAAATAAAAACATAGACTGTCAGCCGAGCTGTAGTTACCTACCATAGGTTCTGGCGCACACTTCAATATCTCCTCAACAAAGCTATTTATTCTTTCAGTGAGTTATAGCTTAGACAAAAAGAATTAAATATTGACCGTCAGCTGTGCTGCGGTTACCATAGGTTCTGGCGCACACCGCTGGGAGCACCATGTAGTTACGGCGTACGCGCTACGTAACTACACAGCGGTGTGCGCCAGAACCCAGGTAACCGCAGCACAGCTGACGGTCAATATTTAATTCTTTTTGTCTAAGCTATAACTTACTGAAAGAATAAATAGCTTTGTTGATGAGGTACTGCTTCAATTTAATTTTGAATTTGTCCAGTAATTGTGTGGTTGGCAATTTGATTACTAGAGTGAAGTAAGAAGTAGTGAAAACATTTCATTTCCCTCACTACGTTGCCCACGATGTAAAAAAAATTACAACATTGCTGGAGTGGATGCCACTGTGGGAAACTCAAAGCATTACAAAATTATAAAATGAACATATTAGCCTACATAAATTTGAATGTTTTTTTTTTCTCACGATACCTAAGTTTTTCTCTTGATAATTCAAAACTCTCCATGATTGAAATTGATTTGTTAGGTCCATGAATTTCTAATTATCAAGAGTGTATTTTGAAGCGTTGTTGTGCGTTTATTTGTTTCAGAGCAAATTCCAAAAAACAACATTCAGTTGTGTGATCTCTCTTACTTGTACCCCACTAATTTATCCTTTTTTTGCTTTGTTCCAGAGAGAATCAGAAATCCTATTCTTCCTCATGATTGTTGTCATGATACGAACACGGAAGGCTGGAAGTGTCACAATGATCAATTATCTGTCTTCAAGTTTCATGTACACCAAAGTCGCAAATTTAATACTGTGGTTTTATGCTGACATTAGGATGGGAATATTTTTTGGGATACTTTTGATATGTAAGTTTTAATTTAATATGTACCACTTTTACTCTCCTAATACTGAAAACTCTAGGTTTTTGGCCTTGCTGGTATTGTCGCTTTCAAACAGCATGCACATGATTGAATGAATAGTAGAACTAAGGGTTTTGATTTTACCAATCACTTCTTCAACACCTAACCTTTACCAGTAAATTCAGTATATCTTAGTCGTACTCAAAATCAAAGGCTTAGTAAGGCTAAATAATTTTTTATACATATTTTTGCTCTAGGCCTGCAGGGATAGTCTTGAAAGTTTTTAAAGGGAAATTGATTTACTTAAAAGTTAGTCATGAGGACATTGCAGACATTGAATCTGTCTTGCATATGTCTTGTGTTGCTAATTGCTCAATAGGCTAAGTAAAAAAAAAAACACTTTGTGATATTGTAGGTCTTTCAACATTGGGTTAATCTTTGGTAGGCCTAATGTTTTTAATTGAAAACTATGAATACTATTTAAATTACTAGCCCTACAAATTGTATTTGTACATCAGAGAACTTTTATTCACAATGAGCTGTAGAAACAACAATCATGTCAGCTCACAAGGCCACATTCTGTATGATTTATAAGATTACTAAAACATTAGGCCTACCTAACATTTTTAGAAATTTAAAATTACATATTTTTAAAGGTTAAATTTTCACTTTCATTAAAACTCTCCTACATATTATTTGCAGTGGTTGGCCTTTTATTGCCAGAACCTGCTTACAAAGGGCCAGAAAACGTAGTGTATTTCCGAACAGCTCAAGGAGTTGAAGACGAGATCATGAGGAACAAGAAGATCTGCTGGCTAGTGACGTTTTACACTGCTTGGAACCCTGCTTGTGTCAACTTCGCTCCAGTCTTCTCCCAGCTCTCCGTAGAGTGAGTTTACTGTCAAACTTACTTTTGTTTAGTGAACAAAAGGCTAAAAATACCTCTTGTAATGTCCAGTGATCCTGTTTTTTGTTGGGGTTTATCATTTGCGTTTCACTTTTGTTAACCCTGATTTTGTTTTAATGGGATGCAGTTAAAAGGGTTGTTTACTGTAACTCATCTACTTGGTGCCCTATATCATTAAAAAAATTCATAAAACAATAATGTTAGAAGACACTAAAGGAAATATTTTTATTAAATTTCTTATAGATAATCCCCACTGTAATAGTATATTACGGTAAGTGGTGTTTTACTGTGTGAGCACGACAGTTCCCGTGCGTTTTTGTTTGAGTAGGGTAAAGCTTACTGGGCGAGTAAAGTACGATACTTTACATCATACTGTACAGAAAAATTAGTATGTTTTAAACTCATACCACAATTTATTTAGGACATAAAATAAATTTAATATTTTTATATTTCAGAAGCAAAATAGGCCGTTGCAGTTAGCTGTTTATTTCATCAGGTGACTAAGTGCACGGATAAAAGTACATTAGGTTTTTTTTCCGTGTGTAGGCACAGAAAAGGGCAACTTTTCAGCCTATCAATACGGATGGAAAGGTACCTGTTTCTGTCTAGTATGATGTAAACAATATATTGATATATTAAAAGCTCAAATGGGAATATTTAAGAAGTTTGTTGAATTAGATCAGATTTATAATACAAAGGTGTTTTAGACTGAATGTTTTCTCTTACTATAGATAGTCTTTGACATATTTTACAAGGTGGTACCAGACTGTTTTGCTGACATGTACTATGTTTGGATTATTTGTTTTAGATACCATCTAGAGAACCTGAATTTTGGCAAGATTGACATCGGACGTTACCCAGATGCGGGTAAAAAGTATTATGTAAATGACTCGCCCATGAGCAGACAGCTTCCTACAGTGATTCTATTTAAAGAGGGCAAAGAAGTTATGAGGAGACCAATGATTGATGCTAAAGGAAAGCTTCAGAAGTTCTTCTTCTCTGAGGTATGATTTAATTTTTTTTGTCGTAATTAGATAAATGAAAATTGTAAAATAGGAAATAGTAGTACTTTATTTCCTCAAATAGACACCCTATCGTATTCTACTAAATTTCAATGTTTTTAACACTTCTCTGTTCACTAATTCGTTTAACACTTGTTTCAGGACAATGTAAAAGCCGCATTTGATTTGAATAATCTCTACAATGAGTGCAAAAACAATCCATTGAAGAAAAAGAAGGAATTGACAGACCATCAGAAGAGTGAATAAAGTCCCTTTACCAAATACGGTAGTCCTTTAAGTCAATTTGGTATATTAGTGTTACCTACCAAGAAAGTTTTAATGAGAAATAACGTTGATTTATCTTAAACATTAGATTTGACTGTCCCAGGTTTGAGAAATGTAAATTATACATTTTGTCCTCAACTAAACAAACACATATTTGTGTTTATGGATGTTAATCAGATTGGTCAAAGTACACTGTCAACATAAATGTTCCTTGAATATTAATTAATTGTTTGTTGAATCTGTGGAGGTGTTATGCTATGTGTAACTTTATTATAGTAGCATTTATGCTACATATTGCGTGAAATTATTCTTTCAGTTAAAAGTGAAAGGATTGCTTGATAACAAAATTGTCAAACATAAAATTTTATTAGTTTACACCTTAAATTTATTAAAATTTAAACTTTTATCTGAGTAGTTTATAATTTTCTGACTACAAACAGGGGTTGGACAATAGGCCTGACTGAAGTAAAAACAGTTGTCGCTCAAAGTGACTGATTTTCAAATGAGAACTGTAGTTACGGTCACCAAGAGTGCCTCAAGTTCAATTTCATAAATTTAGGAGAGGGGAGAGATTAAGAGAGAGTTTGAAGGATGACAGAGGGTAGCCAGTTAGAGAGTTAACTTTGTCCCGTTACTAAATTTTAAATCTTCAATGATCTGCTTTTGATATCATAATTACAGCCTTGAGACTTCTACGTTGACGTGATTTTGAGTATCAAACTAATAATGTTTCACCTAAATTAATCTAAAGTCATAGGTAGTATTTCAAATCTACTGTGAACTTGACACAAAAATCATTATGGATGTGGAAATACTACGTCAGAATCTCTTAACTGTCTTATTGGCCCCCTCTAATTCAACGCTAGTAACATGTTTTCCCTGCAAAATACCTCGTCCATACCTCCCCTATTTGTAGAGCAAATCTCTCTCTCTCTCTCTCTTTCCCCCTCTCCCACACATTAGTATTGAGTAAGTGAGCCGATACTCCATAGCAATGCAAATAGGATGGACCAGACCTATCATCCAATTCCCATAAAAAAAAGTAATTTTTTCAGATCAAGCAGTTATTTTTTTCAAGTGCACAAAGTTGTATTAGTAGTTAATGTATCTGATAGTTTTATTTGCACATCAAACAGTGTGTTCATTTGCTTTTTTTAAGTCGAGTCAGTGGCATTTTTAGTATTAAGAACACTTTTAGGAATACTAGTGCTTGTTAGTCATGAGCTATACAGGGCGAAAGATTTAGTACCTTATTAGCTTGAGCTGCCATAAGTCATTAATTTTAGTTAGTATTGTTTTGTTAGTGAAATATTTATTTTTTGTTTTATTTTTATAAAAATTTTTTATTAGATTTTATATTAGTTCTGAGCCATCAGGTTATTTGTTATACAAACATGGTAAATTGTAGCTTGTGTATGAATCAGAAGTTAATACGTTCAAAACCAATATTGTGTGGACAGATTTAACTGTTCTATCAAAATACAAAATTAAATATAAAAATATAGGCCTAGAATCAGTTGTTCAAACTCAATGTTTTTATTATTTTTTTAGATTTTATTAAATCTAATAATAAATGCTCTTAATATGAATGCTAGCATTTATTTGCACTCTTACATTACTTTATTAATGTGAGTTATTTTTATGCTAGTTTACCCTTAGTTTACTTCAGACAAAAGCTGACACTACCAATAATCTATTTGATTTGTTTTACATTATGTTAACCATGAAACACGTTTGGTTTGTTTTATAAATGTAGCTAGTTGAGTTGAGATGTGTTAATCTTAGTTTTAGATACATAAAGATTTTGAAGAAATGCTGTTCTCAAATTTTATTGATAGATATCTAATACAAAAAACTCTGTTATTGTGAATATTAAAGGTTTAAATACATCAAGTGTTTTTGTACAAGCAATGAAAACAAACCCTTTAAGAAGCGCAATGCCTTTGTAAAAAATTCAGTCTGGAAATATTAGAATTTTCGATATTTCCCACGGCGGCCGCTAAGTAGACTATCGCGAGCGTGCGGCCAAGTCAGCTGACTGAGTGAGAGAGAGTGAGACAAAGAATCTGCTTAGAAAGAGAAAGAGAGAAAGAGTAAAATTCCTATCTGACTATTTTCCATTTTAGTATTTCGCTTCTTAAAGGGTTTGTATTCATTGGTACAAATCCCTGGCGCATGCCGGGATATTATTGATTGTAACAGATCTCACAGCTGATTTTAAATTTAGAACCTTAAGAGGGTTCTACCCGGCAGCCTGAATTTCAATTCAAGATGGCGGATAATGCGGATTAAAATATAGTTAGGCATTGAACATGCCTCTATTTATTGTACAAGCTCTCAACATTCTAAAACTAATTTGTTTTCAATGATTGTGTGCTTTTAGTGTTCTTAACATATCAGAGCTTGCAATGGATAGAAAAAATTAAATTTTGAACTATTAAGTTATTTAAAAGTTAAAGTTCCATGTAAAAAAGACCAATTTACGGATTTTCAAAATGATTTTATAAATACTTAAAAAAACAATTACGAAGTTTCAGTTCATCCAGTGCATAGTTTGGATCTTTCTGAATATTTTATAGTGATCATAAAATATTCATTACCTTTAAGAACCTCTTGGCTTTATTAAAGTATTTATTGAGTTGAAATAACCTGTTTATCATAACTCGATAAATACTTTAATAAATCCACGAGGTTCTTTTTTGTAGGACCATGTTTACGTGGATGGAACCCTCTTAAAATAAATGCAAATATGTAACAACTAATACTGTTAAATGCTGCTGTAAAATCAAGGTTTTTTTAGTTTTTGAAACAGATCAATTAACCAAACATAGTCTCTATTAAGATAAGCTGTGGCCTTGGGTGAAAGGGTTGGGAAGCCACTACATTAATATTATCCATAAGTATATTGGTGAATATACAAATTAAGAGTCTATTTAGTCTTTCCATCATCGGAAGCCTACTGGACCAAATTAGCTGAGGTTGTTCAAAATAGGATAATTTTAGGTATCCAAGATTAACAAAGCTCCATTTCATTTCAATCTCAATCTAGGGCTCTACCATCAAGGCTTTAAAGATTTCTGGTGGAGTTTTTGGGAGAAAAATTTATTGAAATAAAAAAAGGAAATGCAATCTTATCATTAGCTTCAGAAGTTTCCTGGTAACTCTGACCTTCTACCTATATATATAAAATCAATATAAAATTTGTAAAAAAAAGTGTTATCTTCTTAAATTAGTTTGTGTTGAGAATGTATTATTAAGCTGTTGTAGAGATTGAAAGCTTTGTTATGTATAACCACAGAAAAGTAACAAGTATAAACTCTTTATTACTCCTCTGTGGTATAACTCATATTTTTACCCTTTTGAGTTACATATTGTTTGTTGTAATTTTTCTTGTTATTTATCTATGTTTTCATATCCAATTGATTCTTGGAAAGTGATTGTAAGACATTAAATGATTGTGACAGGTCCACTCAGTTAAATGTGTTTTTTGAATTATTTCCACCTTTAAACTGTAGTTAAAAGTCAGTTAAAATTTTTAATACATACGGTTTTGCTCTAGAATTAAAGGGCTGTTACATCTGGACACTGCACATTCAGCATGTGTGTAATATCAACACATTGGTGATATAACATGGGGGATGCAGAAAACACTAGTTTGTTTAAAAAAAACCCAAGCAGTAGAGAACAGCCATACAGACAAAATCTTGTTTCCACCATTGAAGTCAATGATTCCACTAAGCAGACCAGTTTAGTCTATTTAATTGCTAAAGCATGAATAGTTATTTGTGTAACTAGTGGTGAAAGTGGCACTTTGCTGCACACGAGAGCAATGTTTACTGATCTCGAGTGCAGCAAAGGCCTTTTTCACTCGTGTTACACATTATATTTTTCCTACAGTCACTATAAAGCATATAAATAATTAGTCTTTCAAACACTATACAACACGTTTTTAGGTTCATCTGGCAACACAAATGGTGTCCTAGAGAAAGTAGTACCCGCAGTCCGTATCACTCCGCTATTTTTCCTCGGCAAGAAATGTGCTCTGCGTTTAGAGAATATAGTTGAGTGAAAATTTAAAAACGTACGTTTTCATGTCCCTGGTCTTTTACTTCGTAGATACTGGATTTGTAGTTTATAATTATGTGTTTTAATATTTTTTGGGACGGGGGCAACATGTTACACACATTTATTTGGTTTTTAATAGGTTCTAGGTATTTTTTTCGTATTTTTAAAGTCTCGAAATTCACGACCATGACGTGCCCTAGGGTACATTTTCCAACTTTCACGCTGTTTTAAGACTAATTATTCATGCCGAAATATATAAAGCCATATTTTTATGTCATCAATGGTTATTAAACTTACAAAAAAGGAGCATATTATAATTTTATTGTCATTGCAAACTGACTACCATGACAAAATAAGTCTGTCCCTCGATTTGGCGTCACGACCATTTGGGAAAATTTTTAAACTTTGGAGCACGACGGTGGCAAGCCTGGCGTCGATGGAGTCAGTTGGTTTTAGAGACTAGTTCGGGGTGTACGTCAGAATTGTAGTGCCGGTCGTTTCGAGTTGAAAGGAGGAATTACAAGATTAATAAAGGAAAGATTGTGATTTTTGTAATTTTGGTGTGTCCATGACCGTACGTAGTCATTCGATGAAGTAGACATGGTGTTAATTTTTGTTTATAAGATATTTCAATTGCTAGATTAACCTAGAAGTCCACTTTGTATCCTCGAACATGAGGTGCAGGGCTACCGCCAGAACAGAGCCAAATAACACGTAATTTCACGACCAAAGTTTCACGACCATCGCAGGTTTTTTCACGACCAATCCAGCCTTATGGATTATAGTGTGTTTGGTCGTGACAATAACTTTAATATAATTGTAAATTGAACAGTTTAGTTCAATTCAAAAACACATATTTTTATTATAACTAACAGTATAATTGAAGGATTGTTTAGAAAGATTTAGATTATTTCAGAAAATTCACGACCGTACCGCTTGTCCCTGACCATCACGTTTATGATTTCTATCATAAAAATTTCAAAAATTAAAATATCGTCATATTTCAATGTTTTATACACAAAAGAAGCACACCTCTAAACAAACATAACGATTTTTTGGGTCTCAGGTAAGTTTTTTCGGAGTTATACAAACTTAAAAAGATTTTATTGGCTTTTTTCAATTTTTTGAGTTTTTTTATTTTTTTCTAGAAAGACCAAATATACCAAAAGCTCAGTGACCTTTTTATTGTATAATGGTCATAAAAGTAAATTAGTTTATAGCAAAACATAGTTATAAAAATAATATTAACTATTTTTAATATTCATTTAAACGTCTGTTATGGTCGTGACAGGATTTTGTGTTTTTCCACTAAAGATGCTCTTAAAAAAAAAAAACTACCAAAGATATTGCGTTACCATGGACATTTTATGAAACTTCAAATGTTAATAAAATAATAATAATAAAAGTTTTGAAAAAAGGGGAAAAAAATTTGCAAAGTGCATTTCCTGAAAACGTACGTTTTTAAATTTTCACTCAGTTCCGTATGTTTTTGTAATTTGAAGTGGTTTCCGCGCCTTAAAAAAATGCTTTAAAGGTATTTTCTTGTTTATTAAGATCGTAGGAATGTTTTAAAAACGTTTAATAGAAAAGTCCAGAAAGTTCAGAAATACTGAAACTATAAACACGAAATGACAGGTTAAATCGTAGTTATAATAGTCAATCAGCTGCTCATAGTATTGTTATCTTTAAGTGTTGCCAACCTATTTCCAAGCGTACACGGATTACGTCCATAATAGAACCACGCTGTTTTGTGTTGTTTCGTTGGAATCCTGATGTGCGGCAAAGTATAAACCGTACGGCAAAGTATAAATATGCAGCAATTAGCAGCTTTCTGTACTATAAACAGTACAAGGAAGCCAACTTTGTCGGGTGACTGTAGGAAAATATTTCCTACAGTCACCCGACAAAGTTGGCTTCCTTGTACTGTTTATAGTACAGAAAGCTGCTAATTGCTGCATATTTATACTTTTCCGTACGGTTTATACTTTGCCGTACGGTTTATACTTTGCCGCACATCAGGATTCCAACGAAACAACACAAAAAAGCGTGGTTCTATTATGCACGTAATCCGTGTACGCTTGGAAATAGGTTGGCAACACTTAAAGATAATAATACTATGAGCAGCTGATTGACTATTATAACTACGATTTAACCTGTCATTTCGTGTTTATAGTTTCGGTATTTCTGAACTTTCTGGACTTTTCTTTTAAACGTTTTTAAAACATTCCTACGATCTTAATAAACAAGAAAATACATTGTGTGGAATGATCTCGAGTGCAGCAAAGGCCTTTTTCACTCGTGTTACACATTATATTTTTCCTACAGTCACTATAAAGCATATAAATAATTAGTCTTTCAAACACTATACAACACGTTTTTAGGTTCAGCTGGCAACACAAATGGTGCCTTAAAGAAAGTACTGAAAGTAGTACCTGCGGTCCGTATCACTCCGCTATTTTCCTCGGCAAGAAATGTGCTCCCCGTTTTGAGAATATAGTTCCGTATGTTTTTGTAATTTGAAGTGGTTTCCGTGCCTAAAAAAATGCTTTAAAGGTATTTTCTTGTTTATTACGATCGTAGGAATGTTTTAAAAACGTTTAAAAGAAAAGTCCACAAAGTTCAGAAATACCGAAACTATAAACACGAAATGACAGGTTAAATCGTAGTTATCATAGTCAATCAGCTGCTCATAGTATTATTATCTTTAAGTGTTGCCAACCTATTTCCAAGCGTACACGGATTACGTGCATAATAGAACCACGCTGTTTTGTGTTGTTTCGTTGGAATCCTGATGTGCGGCAAAGTATAAACCGTACGGCAAAGTATAAATATGCAGCAATTAGCAGCTTTCTGTACTATAAACAGTACAAGAAAGCCAACTTTGTCGGGTGACTGTAGGAAAATAATATTTACCTACGACCGTTTTTTTAAAGTAGCCATTTCAGTCCAGTTCTTAGAATTGAAAAGTTTCACGTTACAGCTGTTTACTTTCATATCCGCATAGTTTCATTTCATATCCGCATAGTTTTCTCATATCCACACAGGTAACGGACCAATGAGGTTCAAGTATTGAGAGAAAAGAATTAAAATTGTAATGCTTCGAACGTCAACTAATCAGCTGATCAGCTGATCAGTTGACCAATTTAATTGTTGATCCGAATTGTTCATGTTGATACTCGCGTATTCTTAATTAAGTTGGTGGAGGTCCAAAAATAAATGAAATATTTGCCGAATTGTACCTGATACAATATTATTTATGGTAAGAATGCTGCTAGCAATGTAATATTTAACGAAGTTTAACAAACACGTAATTACAGGAAATCAGCTGATTATACAACAAGTCGTTGCATCACTTTCAGTGGCAATGACAATACACGAAAACATAACCTCTCTAAAAAGTTATCAGTAGTTATTGTTAGTAATTAAATCCAGATTGATAGTAATTAAAAAACGGTCGTAAGTAAAGTAGTGTACGCAACTCGCGTTAATAGTCTTTACGACACTCGTAGAAGTTTTTAAGGCACTCGCCAAGGCTCGTGCCTTAAATTTTCTACTCGTGTCGTAAAGACTCACTTAACGCAATCGTTGCGTAAACTACTATTTCATCACTCTGTACTAAAAAAAGCCCATTTCCATACAGCTGAGATCTCCGAAAATCGTCAATCTCCATACACCAAAAACAGTGATCAGCTGACTTTTCCTGACATAAACATCACTTTCGCTACACAAACAATACTTTGCCTGATATCAACAAAGTTATAAGTTTGATGAAGTAGTGTTTTTTTCATTGTGATAAAAAGTATCTTAGTCCCATTTCGTAGTGAAATATACTATTTCAGTACAGTACTAATGTTTTGGAAACAAGTTATGCTTGATATTTTTAATACTGTACCTACATCAAACTTTGATCTCGGTGGTAATTAATTATCACCTAGAATATGGGAAAAATTTCCAACAAAAAATCGTATACATTTTACTTATTAACTCCTTATCATTGTTTAAAACTAGGTTTCTTACAAAAATAATGAGTTAGATTATTTTTTTTTTTAATGTATAATAATTATACATTGTAATGAATGTACTTAAATACTGGTCTGCAGATAATTTTTGTCAATCATTAATTCATTGTTCAGTTACCTGAAAATAGTAGCTTTGCTGTGTTATATGGGTTATAAAGACTTCAAAATGTGTTCTTGGAGTTGACTGTTATGAGATACAAATTTCTAGAACTAAATAGGCTATAATGTTTGTGTGAGTTTTTTCCTTGATTAAACTAAAACAAGAGTGAAGAAATTGGCAAAAAATGTAGCTGGAAGCTATACATTAAGAAACTAGTCAAATAAAATGTGAAATGACAAATAAAGCAACAAATCAGTACTATATTTCATTTTTTATCTTTCTGT